AAGTCGAAAAATCACGGCCAAGACCTTAGTTGTTCCAAACCCCACCAAAATCACACAACCCACAGTCCTCAACCTCCCTTCACCACTACCCTACCCTCAATTTCCCAAAAAGCCCAGTTTATTTTTTCGAATTTTAAATCTAAGAGCTTTTGAACCCTAATTTTTTCCCTTTTCTGATTCCCGGTCTTTGTTCGGTTGATTGAACCCCAAACCTTCATTAGTCGACTGTTCTTTGTGAGAACAGTCGATTAATGTTAGTTCGGGTTCATGATTGCTTTGAAGAAGTTTGGTCGAACTTGTAGCTGGTCTGGTTTTCTAAAAAATAAACGAAGTTAGGTAATTCTTTTCACTCTAGTTTTTGTTTGTTGTTTCCTTTCTTTGCATGTTCATGTTTTCCTATTTAGACGCATGTTTAGATTTCTTTTCTTTTTCCTCTTTTGACTGTTAGTTGGATTTCTGGCATCTATTTTGTTGGAGTAATTAAAGCATGTTCAGAACATCATCATTAGAAATTCAATTTATTTAAGTTCAGATACTTAGGTTACTGGTTAGGATTTTTGTGGATTTTTGCTCTATTTTTGCCTTCTTCATGTTCATTAGTCGCATGTTTAGGTTTAACTTTAGATTTTTTATTTCTTTTCTTAATTTTTTTTCCAGCAAATGCTTAGTTATTTAGTTGTTCTTGATTGATTAAAGCACGTTTGCATTCAATACTCGAATTGCATAACTTTTAGTTTAGTTAGGGTTTGTTGATGCCTACCCTATTTTGCCTCTATGAGGTCATTTGGTAATCAGTTTTATTTTGAATCAACAAGATATTTAGGTCGATTGTTGCCTTAATGGTTTAAATTTAAAAACTGATAGGTAGAATTGTAGTTCTTCTTTGCAGTTTATTCATTGCATTTATTGATTAACTGTATTAGATTTAAACTCCATTCTTAGGTTCACTTAGCTAGAGTATTTCTGTTTATTGGTCGAATTAGTTTTAGGTTCATGATTGTAGTCACTAGTCCTTCTTGGACACTCTTGATTCAAATGGCTAATCCTTTTAGGGCTTTGCCTTTGTTTGTCATCAGTAGAAATTTCAGGGACTTAATTAAATTTAAAATGAGGATAAAAGCTGAAATAAGCATTAACCTAAAGGGTAAAAAAAGGATTTCTACTTAAGCTAAAAATCAATAGTTTCTAGAAATGTACAACTGTCCTAACTGTTATGAAAAGATGCTGAAATATAGGACAGTTGTACCAAGGGCTGTAAAAAAGGACAGTACTATTATTCCCTAGGATAAGGAATATGCCTAAAATATACCCTCCCAAGGCAGCTTATATATATAGGTTCACTCACTCTGAAAATGACAGAATCTTTTAGCAATCAGTAGTATCATTCCCTATAGAAAATTCCTTCTTTTCTCTGAATTTCTGATTTAAGAAAAATCTCAGAAAAACTTCCAAAAAAAAAAAAAAGAAGGAAGCCTCTCCTTCTGTTAACAAGCTGAAAATGATTTGAAGTGAAGAATTTTCTTAGGATTTTACTTGGGATTTCTGGTTTTCAAGTATTGGTTTGGTTTTGAAATTCTAGGGTTTCTTTGGTTTTGCTGAAGCTGTGTTGGTTACTGCTGTTGCCTTCTACTTCTAAAATTCTTCCAGCAGTCTTGTCTGCATTTTAGCTGTTATTTATTTGCTGTGTTAAGGTACATATGATCCTTTCCCTTGTTTGACTACCTGTAATTAAAACTTAAGATGGATATGAGCTTTCTTCTTTCTTGTTTGACATTGCTTGTATATCCCTGCTATGGCTTACATGTTAAAACTTCAATAGTGCTAAAGCTTGTCTTTCTCTCTAAGAATGCATGAGTTTCTTTACCTTTAGTTTTATGGCATAAGGTTCTGTTTCTTTGTTAGGCTTTAGTATTGATTATCTTATGCTAGTGCGCATTTCTGTTTCTTCTTGCATTAGTTAGACATGTTTAGATTCCCCTCCCCGAAACTAGTTTTGTCCAGGGGGACTGACTCTTACATAGTCAGGTTCATGGATTGAACTTTCCCTTTCCTTCCCTTGAAGTATATTCCAATATGTCCCTAAGGCAGTATGCCATGATTTTGGGCTTGAAACCTGTCGTGGTTCATGAGTTTAACCTTTAACATGATTAAACCCATGAATCATAACTATTTCTTGCATTATGTGTCTATGTTTGGGTCTGACAATGTATTAAGTTGGTATAATTAAAGGCATTTCTGTGGATCTGACCTCTTCGCACGATCAGATTCATGAAATCCTTGGTAGAATATAGGGGTGTTCAAAACCGATCCAAAATCGAAAACCGAACCGAAACCAAAGCTTAATGGTTTATTGGTATCGGGTTAACGGTTTAACGGACGGGGAACGGATTGAAATTTTTTTATTAACGGCTTATCGGTTTGGGGGCGGATTATTCAATTTTCTTAATGGATAATCCGTTAACCCGTTAAGAATATATATATATATATATATATATAAAATTTATTTTTATCCATATATATTAAATATCAAAAATCCTTCCACTTCCAGAGGACAATGAACATAACATCCTCAATTTCATAACTGAGGAATGTGCCTCTGGTAATTTGAGGGATTATAGGAAGAAGCATCATCATGTTTCGATTAAGGCGTTGAAGAAGTGGTCTAGGCAAATACTACAGGGCTAGGATAATCTACACACTCATGACCCTTGTGTTATTCATAGAGATCTCAATTGCAGTAACATGTTTATCCATGGCAATGTTGGAAAGGTAATGAATCAACTCATTCAGTTTGTCTTCAGTTAATGTAGCCTACAATGTACAATGTGTTCTGCTTTTTTCACTCTCCAACACATGACACACTACATCATTCTTATGTAGGCGTTAACAGACATGTATGCCTGGACTTAATATGTAATTTTGATTTCTAAATTTGTATGCTAGGCTGTTAGCAAACAATTAATACATGCAATATAGATTGAATTAGGCCGATAAACCGCCCGATAAGAGCTAAACCGATACCAATCCGCCCGATATCTTATCGGGTGGCTAGCCGATTAATACATTTAAAAGCCGATAACTGATAAGCCAAACCATTAAGAGTAAATAACCGCCCAATCCGCCCGATAAGCAGCCCTAGTAGAATAGGAGCTGACTTGGGCAGTAAAGAGCTTCAGGTGTGGTGTTTGAACAACCAGTTTGTGAGAGGCAGCTCTGTAGCTGATCTCTTGCAAGCTGGTATATTGGTTGTGAAGGATCTGATGGCACGAATTCAAGGCTAGAAGACATTTTCCTTTTATTTATTTTTAGAAGTTCTTCTTTCTTTCTTTAGACGTTAGCTGTGAGGGACTGTTAGGATAATGGTTCATTAAGTTAAAATCTTTCTTGTATAAAGTCTTGGACTAATAATATTGTAAATGGACTGTTAATTCCAATTTAAGTTTAATCATTACTAGACTTTCAATAGTAAATTTTCCTTTTTGTAATGAACATGTTTATGGTTGCATGTAAATATAAACTGGGCTGCACTTGCAAACAGGCCCAAGTCTTGGCTTCATTCGAGCAAGTCTGACCTAGGCCATTGGACCTGGGCAGTTTGGCCCAACTGTAGATTTTTTTTTTGCTAATTACAAATGCATAATCTGATGTATCTTGCGAATCAATATAGTGAAATTAATTTTCAAACTAGCCTTGTGCTTTGATTTTTTTAAGATTGACTTCGTTTCAGCCTTTTTCACTAAGGTGTATGCCAAGTGCTAAGGTAGACAGGCCCAGTCAATTAGTAGTCGCAGCTGGGCCCGCCTAAATTTAAGCCCAATGTGGGTTGCTTAATTCAGTATTCAGCAATGATATCCAGAATCCTTTTGATTTATTGGGCCAAATCGTGAGCCCAATTGCAGCTTCAAAGCTGATTTATTTAAAAAATCCACTACTGGCCCAATCCCTTTAATCAATTTAGGTCCAATGAATGTATTCCAAAACTTGTCTATAATTAATAGCTTCATGTTAAGCCTAAGTTAGTTTTAAATAAGACTATTCTTAGATGTCCTTAATTAAACACATTTCTTTTAAAATCATTTGAGGTGCCATGCCAAATGAAACCCCTAAGCCCATGGCCCTCATAAAACTAGTTATGCTCTTATAGAAAATTTGAGGTGTGCCATTTTTCATTAAATAATCTATGGCCCTCACATAAATATCAACTTAGTATTAAAATAACCCTAAGCAATCGTAGTTTGCTTTAGGCCCGATTTAGATTAGTATTGCGATTATGTATACGTTCGCGTAACATAATTGCAAATTTAACTCTAAAAATAATCTGAGGGATGCGTTCGCGCAACTTCAACCAAACTTTTCTTAATAAAATCAACAAAAGCGTTATTAATCGTGGACACGTTCGCGTGACATAATTTTGACGCGCCAAACGAAAAGAGTATACGTACGCGTAACTCAATTCTTCAAATACGAATAAATCAAGTGATTAAAACGGTCAAAGGTAAATGCACATAGGTCCTAAAAATGAGTAGTTAAACAATTTAAGCCAAGTAATAATCACTAAGCGACCAAGCTAGAACCACGGAACCCGGGAATGCCTAACACCTTCTCCCGGGTTAATAGAATTCCTTATTTAGAATTTCTGGTTCGCAGACTCTTTAAAAATAAAACTTTCTCGATTTGGGATTTAAAAAAAACTAGTGATTTGGTACACCATAATTTATTCCAAGTGGCGACTCTGATTAAATAAAAAAGATCCTATCTCGATTAATGCCACTTTAATTGGAAAAACTCCCATATATACCCTCGGGCGGGTAAAAAAGGAAGTGTGATACAACCAAACAAAGAAAAATAAGTGATAAAGCTACTCATTTTCTAGTAAAACATTTCATTCATACCAAACCCACCCTAAAACAAGCAATTTGTTCCTCATCCCACGGAAGGAATATAAAAATGAGCTAATGATTTGATTGTTTAGTGTTTACTATGGCACTTGACAACAAAGCGACACGTATCGCTTGGGTTAAGTTTCACTCAACTGTAATTATCAGGTCGCCCAGGTCCAGGCTTACATAAACGGTTCAAAAGTTGCGGCTTCTCAACCACCAAAAAACAAGCAAGAGATTGATATTGATTTCATTGTTGCATTATAGAGTCAAAGAAGATCAAATTGGACCGCGAATTCGACTTTATCAATGGTGAACTGCCTTAACTTGAACTGCGTTAACTTGTGTAAATCAATCGGATAAAAAGAGGAAACGGACAATGTTTTTCAACGATTTGATTCAACGGAGACTTGTGTCTCTGTTACAGCCATGGTTAAGAGACGAAGTTGAATTGGATGTTCAGCTAGGGTTTCTTCATTCTCACGCCAAGTTAGTGAACCTTAGCTTTAACACGTCTGCACTCAACGAGTTGCTAGATGATCCTACTCGCTTGTGTTTCAAAGAAGTCACTGTCCAACAGTTGAGCCTTCACGTATCCAACTGGTCAGCACCTGCCTTCGATTTCCAAATCCATGGCCTTAATATCGTCTTATCAGTCGGGTAAGTTCACTCTGCTCACCTCTTACCTAATACACACGCACACATGTTATATATAGTTTGAATTTTTTAAAATGTACATGTTAATACTAAGTTTGCACGCATTGTCATGAAAGTTAGTTAGTGCAGTGGAATTCAGCATTTACTGCCTTTTATGGGTTCATGCTACTTGTATACTTGTTAATTGTTTTTTTGTTTCCTACTTCAAGAGAAGAGGAGGAGGATGGTGTGAGGTGGAAGCCGAAGCCCAGAGATTCATCCATTGAGGAGCGGAAAAAGATTCTAGCCGAGCTTGATTCTGAGGTACTTACTTGGCTACTTGTTTGATTATCTGGTTGGGAAAACTGATTTAATGGGATAACAGTAGATAATGCCTGGCTACTTGAAACAAGGAATGACCAGTGGAAGGGACAGAGGTTGAAGTAGGAGTGGACAAAAACTTGGAAGACAATTCCTTCATGTCTTGATCTGAAAAAGTAAATTTTCATGTATATTCTGGAAAGTATGTTCAGAGATATACCGTAGACTTTTTGAGGGGAGAACAGAACATATATCTTTTGTTAAGTATAAGTGTCTCCAACATTTAAAATTTCAGAGTAGGATGATTGTTGTAAAGATCTAAAATTTTCTGGACTCCACAGAGAGATAAGTCCACTGGTATTTTATACTCCCATTACCTTCTTGGTGCTGTTGTCAACAACAACAACAACATGCCCAATATTTATCCCGCATCGTGGTGTCTAGGGAGGGTAGTGTGTATGCAGACCTTACCCCTACCTTGTGAAAGTAGAGAGACTGTTTCAAATAGACCCTCAGCTCAGGAAAACATAATCACCACATTAACTAAAAGATAGACAAGGAGTGACAACACCAAAAAGCCATGTAAAAGCAGCATAAAAACAACACGATAATAAGATGATCAAAATGAAAGAAAACAACGGGTAGTTATAGAAACCTACTACCAACAGAATGCGAGAGTGCGTACTAATATTACTGGTATGAACAATCTACCACCTAAACTACCCTAATCCTCGACCTCCACACCTTCCTATCAAAGTCATGTCCTCGGTCAGCTGAAGCTGCGCCATGTCTTGTCTAATCACCTCTCCCCACATCTTACAATTTCTTTTTCATGCGTCTGATCTGTGACTACTGATTTAGTTTCTCTGATGTTGATATATTCCAGGGTAGTGCTTTGCACAATGCCATGAAGACTATTTCAGAAATTACTCCAGGAAGTTGGACCATTTATTTATTTGATTGGATACTACAACATTGTCGGTTGCAAGTGCATGATGTTCATGTTATTGTGCAGTCAACTTTATCAAATGATATATGGTCACTATCGTTTGAGATGAAGGAACTTGGTGTACAATGTAATCTCATTAAGGGGTGTCTCCTAACTGGACTGGTTAGTTCAATTTTTCTACCTTCTGGAGAGAACTCCTTTGATCTCAATGTTCAACATGTTGAGATCAACTTGAGGAGAAGAAGTTACTTTAGCTGCATTTTGCCTTCAACTGATTTGCTAGCTTCTGCGAAAGTGAAATATCTTCATTTTAGAGAATTGAACTTTTATGCTGCTTCATTACATTTTTCTTTATCTCCAGAAGATATTACCATCCTATTTGTACTTATTTCATTGTGGTCGAAAGAATCCAAGCGCGCCAGAACTGGTAAGCAACTATGGGAAATAGCAGCAACAAAAATGTGTTCTTTTACTTCAACTCCAAAGTTTGCGTTCCATAAAATTGCTAGCACTGTGTGCTTATGGTTGCGCTATGTACATGCTTATGAGAAAATGCTTTTACTGGTTGGGTATCCGGTTGATGATGTGATAAAGAAATCCACTACTGCTATTGTTCAGAGCAAAGCTTATTCAAGAACTTTTAAGCAACAGTGGGAGGTTATTTCTCAAATTGAAAAACAACTACCTGTTGAGGCCATTGTGCAGGCACGAAGAATAATCCGTAGTAGAGCAGCATCATCTGGTCAACAGTCAAAGGATGGTGGTCAAGAATCTAGGATGAGCAGGATTTGTTGGAAAATTTGTCAGTCACTTTCCCTTATATTGATTTTCATTAGCAGTGTGCTTCATTCTGTTAAATGTTTTTTCCTCTTGAAGAAATTGCTGGTCAGGAACCAAGATATCTGTCAAAAACTTGGCGCCATAAATGAAGATTCCATCCTAGGAAGTCACATTTGCCTATATGTCAGGGAATTTTCCATTTTAATTTCACCAGATGTTGAAGTTTATCCATCCTTTAGTAGGAAGCTGCTATCAGATGTTGGGCTTTCATACCCTGGTTTAGTCAGATTCTGTCTCTCCATTGATTTCTTCTGCTTAAGGTACTCCGAAGATGTCTCTGAACAGTATTTTTCCTTTGCATGTGGATCCTTGAAGGTTGTCTCTTCTTATCTTACAGAAGATAAGACCAATAAGTTCAATAATAACTTCAAAGGACGTCGGAGAAAAAATTTTCACAATCTGCAACCTACTTTATGGGGAGAGCCAAACCAAATTCTCCACTCCACTGAAAGTGGTGGGGCTAATCCTCCTCGTGATACTGATGGAGATTTTGTACATACCCCGAAATCTCTTATAGAACAAGCATGCCTGAATTGGAGAAAATATTCATCAAGATTTGGAGAAAATGAGATCCAGAACATGGAGGATCCTTTTATTCTTTGTGAGATAAAGGGCTTTTTGACCGATCAAAGCCTCAAGAACCTTACTGCTGGATACACTAGTTGTTGCATGGTAATGGGGACGTTGAATTTAGTTCTGGATTATTTAGTGATAGTGTCAATTACAGTTATTTGCAGACAGATATGTGCGATACCTTGGACTACTAGCCGCATGGGGAGCACTGCTGTACAGGGAGTTTCTGGATTAGTTGAGGATCCGCTAGTTGCAGATTGGAATAGCAATTACAAACCATTTTCTTCTGGAATTAAGGTTATGGTGCCTAGACTTCTTCCTGAGAAACATATGCAAATAGCGGTACACATTGCTGGTCCACGAATCAAGCTGACATTGAGAAAGGAGGATTTTCATGGTGCGGACGCGGATCTGTATCTTAAGCTTGGGAATGACGTACACCTTTCTTTTGATGCTGACGACATTGAACTGGGTGTCTCACCAAGTTTGGAGTCTGATTTGACTTCCTCAAGTGGAGATACTGCAGTTTTTGATGCAAAACCGTTGAAGGACCTTCAGCAGATGGATATTGCTAAACCAAATGGTGAAGTTAATAGCAGTCGAGGGTGCACTTCACTTTGTGCCTACATGAAACTTAAAGGTCTGAAAGTTTCCCTCGACAAGTTATGGGATAATCAGGGTGGCCAAATTGTCGTGTTAAATCCTTTAACTATCCAACTGTTATCTTTGAGGTATTTGTTCTGCTCTCGTGCTTTTTTTTTTCTCTGTCTTCAAGCATGTGCATGTTATACTTGAGTCTGCAAGCAATTAAGTATCCTCAGTTAGAACAAAAAATCACATGGTAATTTAGTACATGAATAATTTTTCAACGCCTTTGCTCATCCTGATTGAGATATCCATCGTTGTCTTAAGAAACTCTGAGGTATGATCCTTAGATGTGTGCCGAAGAAATGAGTGGGTTTGTTGCAGTTGTTCCGTATCAGTCTGTAAACAGCAAAAGATCCATCAGAAAACATGCAACAAGGAAAGTTTAAGTTGTTTTTGTTGTCTACTATACTGTTGTGTTCTTACTACATGGAGTCCACTTTTATTTTCGAACTTGTAAAAACTGTACTTTCATGTTAAAGTCCCAATCTGTTACTTGTCTTACCTTTGTTTGCTTCTTTATAACACTGGCGACTGTCACAATAGAAATTTCCTTCAGTTTTTTTTGTCAGAGTAATTTCCTGGATATTTCTGAAATTATTGTGGACTAAAGCTAAAGTTAATGTACTTCACCAATGATTGGCAGGAAGGATCTGCATTCTTTGGGCTCAATAGATATTGCTTTCTCTGTTGCATTGCATTGCACGAGTACTGGATTGACGACTCTGGTATTTATGGATGAATGTGCAGTTCTGCTAAAGGTGTTTCTCTTCTCTTGGTGCCTTGTAGTTGCTTTGCTGGGTGGTTTTCTCATTTAGCATATGACTGAAACTTTTTTGATCTTCTGTGTTAGTTGAGACGTTCACCTTATTCTACTGTGTACTTCTTTAATCTGGCAGTCTTTAAGATTGTGTTTGTGGTAATTATATTTTTTAACTGACCTTCAACATACAATCTGAACTTGGAATTCTAATAGGTGTAGTCCTTCTGTACCGTCTCCACTTTTGTGAGGTAGCTTCCAGGGGTGGCCATGTGGTCTTTATGTTACCAACCTTCTGCGTAGTATTCATTGACCCTGGTGATAAATTTGTTATAAACTCCTCAAATAGAAATTCAAGTCTTCCCTTGTCGTCCAAACTGTTAGATTAATTGAAATAGGAAAGACTAAGTTCCTTCGCTGTTTTCTCCAATATGGTATTGGATACTATCCCCCTGGCACTGAAGATGTTGTTCCATCCTTCCATGAGTCATTTTGTGGTTCATTTATCAAGAAATACAGGAAGCCAGAGTATGGAAACACTGGCACTTCAGCCTGAGATTGACGTCTAGCTAGTTGTTGCAAACACCAACACATTGACAAGGGATGCGTCCTAAAAGAATGGTGCCTCTCTGAGCTAGTCTTTTTTCTCAAATTTTGCTGTCATTACAATCCCATTCTTCCAATTGTGAACAAGTGATCAAGGTTCATTTTAGGTCCTTCTAGCTGTCCTGTTTCCCGACTTTTGCTGCCATAACAAGTTCATTCTTCTAGTTGTGAACAAGAGGACTCAAGACTCATCTTTGGCCTGCTAAGTGCTAACAACAGAGGTTTGACAAACAGCCTCCTTAACCAGAATCAGTCTTGCCTCCAGCATAACCATGTTGGTGCTTCTGACCTTGTTTAAGGCTCCACTGCTGTAGGATCTAGAGAGTATGTCTTTGGGACCACTAACCTCCCTGATCTGCTTGTGACTTGGAGTTTTGGAGCCAGTAGTTCCGTGGTTGGTCGGTTATCGGACCTTGTGTTGCCTAAACTGCTATCATGTTTTGTCAATTTATAATATAGGCCAGTCTTATCACGGCTTCAAATCCTTTTGGGCATATATCCATATCATGACCTGTTCCTCGGAGTAGCTTCTCATGCATTCAGATAGCCATATATTCTCCTTACCGGCACCTGGTGTGATCTTACTACTATAGTTACTCCAGTTTCATTTCAAACAATGGACACTGTCACATTCTAAGATACCAAGTGTTCTTTCCTCCTTAATACTCCCTTGCTCTTTCCAACCATAGTACTCCAAATATGAAGGAAGATATTTCCTTCTTTAAGCTGCTATCTAATTTGTGTGCTTACCTGGATTGCCTCATAAATTCCTCAAACAGGTCTTTCATTCTCTGTTTATGTAACAACGCAACCATTGTTCACAGTACTACTATGAGAATTATGATACTTCCCATTGACAAGTTGACTTGACCCATCATGCAGATCACTGCAACAAGTGACTTTCAGTGCTCATTAGAATTGCATAAGCTATCCTTCTGTAATAAAAAGGTGCATGTAGTTTATGTGAGAATGCACGGAGAAAAATCTCATTATTGATATTAGTCTTTCAATATAATACAAGAAGTTCTATTTATAGCTATACTCTACAAAGTACATAGTACTCCTATTCCCATGTGGGACTAGACTGACTTATATACATAACTGTAAACTAACTAATACTCCCCCTCAAGCCGGTGCATACAAATCATATGTACCGAGCTTGTTACATATATAACCAATACGAGGACCAGTAAGGAACTTGGTGAGAATATTTGCAAGCTGATCATTCGACTTCACAAACTTTGTATTTATCTCTCCTGAGAGTATCTTTTCTCTGACAAAGTAACAGTCAATCTCAATATGTTTAGTTCTCTCATGGAACATCGGATTTAATGCAATATGAAGAGCCACTGGATTATCACATACCAGTTCCATCTTGTTGATTTCTCCGAAGTTTAACTCCTTGAGCAACTGCTTGACCCAAACTAGCTCACACGTTGCCATAGCCATGGCCCGATATTCGGCTTCGGTACTAGATCGAGCAACTACATTCTGTTTCTTGCTCTTCCAAGAGACCAAATTACCTCCTACTAGAACACAATATTCAGACGTAGAACGCTTATCAGAAGGTGATCCTGCCCAATCAACATCTGTGTACCTAACAATCTGCTCGTGGCCTCGATCCTCGAATAGTAACCCTTTGCCTGGAGTTGACTTTATATACCGAAGAATGCGAACAATTGCATCCTAGTGACTATCACAGGGAGAACCATAAACTGACTTACAACGCTCACCGAAAAAGAAATGTCAGGTCTAGTCACTGTGAGGTAATTCAATTTGCCAACCAACGTCCTATATCTCGTAGGATCTCTAAGAGGCTCCCCTGTCCAGGCAGAAGCTTAGCATTCAGATCCATAGGAGTGTCAACATATCTGCAGCCCATCATTCCAGTCTCCTCAAGAATGTCTAAGGCATACTTCCGCTGTGAAATAACAATACCTGAGGTAGACTGAGCGACCTCATTACCTAGAAAATATTTCAATCTGCCCAGATCCTTAGTCTGGAAGTGCTGAAAGAGATGCTGCTTCAGATTAGCAATACCATCCTGATCATTGCCAGTAATAATAATATCGTCAACATAAACCACCAGATAAATACACAGATTAGGAGCAGAATGCCGATAAAACACAGAGTGATCAGCTTCACTACGAGTCATGCCGAACTCCTGAATAATTGTACTGAACTTACTAAACCAAGCTCGAGGGGACTGTTTCAAACCAAATAGTGACCTGCGCAATCGGCATACAAGACCACTAGACTCCCTTGAGCAACAAAACCAGGTGGTTGCTCCATATAAACGTCTTCCTTAAGGTCACCGTGGAGAAAAGCATTCTTAATGTCTAACTGATAAAGAGGCCAATGACGTACAACATCCATGGGAGAGAAAGTGTCAGTATAATCAAGCCCAAAAATCTGAGTGTATCCTTTTGCAACAAGACGAACTTTAAGCCGATCAACTTCGCCATCTTGGCCAACTTTGACTGCATAAACCAATGACAACCAACAATAGACTTACCTGAAGGAAGAGGAACAAGCTCCCAAGTGCCAATCGCATGTAAAACAGACATCTTGTCAATCATAGCCTATCGCCATCCTGGATGAGATAGTGCCTCACCTGTAACTTGGGGATAGAAATAGTGGACAAAGATGATATAAAAGCATAATGAGGTGATGACAGACCATAACTTAAACAGACATAATGGGGATTAGGATTAAGTGTGGATCGTACACCTTTGCTGAGTGCAATTGGTTGACTAAGAGGAGACAAGTCCGCAGTAGGTGCAGAATCTGATGCAGGACGTGAATCACCTGGGCCTGATGCTGGACGTGGACGACGATGATAAGTCAAGAGTAGTGGAGCTGCAGAAGGTTGAAATGGAGCTATAGGCGGTGGAACTACAACTGGAGCTATAGGTGGTAGAGCTGGAGCTATAGGTGGTGGAGCTGCAGCTGGGCTGTAGGTGGTGGAGCTGTAGCTGTAGGTGGTGGAGTTGGAATTGCAGAGGAAGATGAATGGGAGATAGTGACTGAATCTCCAAAAGATGAAACTGGCAGCACCTCAAAAATATTTAAGTGATTACCTGGACCTGTGAAGTATGATTGGGGTTCAAAGAAGGTAACATCAGCAGACATAAGGTACCGCTGGAGGTCAGGAGAATAGCATCGATACCCCTTTTTACATTCTCGAGTAACCCAGAAATACGCACTTAAGAGCACGAGGAGCTAACTTATCTTTTCCTGGAGTAAGGTTATGAACAAAACACGTGCTTCCAAAGACACGGGGTGGAAGAGAGAACAGAGGTAAGTGGGGAAACAGAATAGAGAATGGAACTTGATTCTGGATAGCTGAAAATAGCATACGATCAATAAGATAGCAAGATGTAAGAACTGCATCCCTAAAAAACGCGACGGAACATGAGATTGTATGAGTAAGGTATGAGCCGTTTCAAAAGATATCCCCATTTTGTTGAGATGTGTACGGACAAGATGTTTGATGAATAATCCCATGAGAGTTCATAAACTGCTAAAATGGGGAAGATAAATACTCTAGGCCATTATCACTACGAAATGTGCAGATAGAAACCCCAAATTGATTTTGAATTTCAGCGTGGAAGGTCTGGAAAATATAAAATAACTTGGATCGATTTTTTCATCAAAAATATCCAAGTGCACCTGGAATAATCATCAATGAAATTGACAAAGTAGCGGAATCCCAAGGTACAACTGACCCGACTACCCCAAACTTCTGAATGGACTAAAGTAAAAGGTGACTCTGCTCGATTATCAAGATGCCGAGGGAAATGGGAGTGCGTATGCTTACCGAGCTGACATGACTCACACTCTAGAGTGGACAAATGATATAAACTAGGTCCCATTTTCTGAAGTTTTGACAAACTGGGATGTCCCAACCGTTTATGCAATTTATCCGGTGAATCGGTAACAAGACAAGTTGTTGAAGGAAGACAATATATGAGTCCATGTGATTTTGCAAGGATAAGGTAATAAAGTCCATCCGATTCACGCCCGGTACCAATGATCCGCCTTGTACTGCGTTCCTGTATAAAACAAGGTCATCAAGAAATAAAATAGAGCATTTAAGTGATTTGGCTAAGCGACTAATGGCTATGAGATTAAAAGGACTGCCGGGAATATAAAGAACTGAATCTAAAGGTAAGGAAGGAAGTGGACTTGCTTGACCTATTCCATTTGCCATGGTTTGAGACCCGTTGGCTATTGTGACTGTTGGAGAGATTGAGAACATGAAATAGTAGTGAAAAGAGATTTGTTACCAGAAATATGATCATATGCACCTGAATCAATGACCCAAGATGCAGAGTTTGAAGATTGGGAGGCACAAGTCATGCTACTATCTGTTTGAACAACGGAAGCTATCCCTGAAGAAGTCTGTGTACATGCTTTGTAAGAAAGGAACTCCATATAATCTGGTAAATAAACTATCTGGATTGGATCCAACGGATTGTGATTTAATGGTTTCTGATACGAATGCCATAATAATATTGTTCCGGAAAAAGCAAAATTTTTCTGGGAATTATTGTTCTCGCCGGAAAACTCACTGTTCACGCCGTAAAAATATTGAAGTGATCGGAATTTGATTTTAATTAGATGGGTAGGCTCGGATTTGCGAGGAGAAAAGACTGTTCTGAAGAAATTTTCCCAAAATCTGGCTGGAAACAGTCTCACGCACCGGCTAGATTTGATTTTAATTGGATAGGTAGGCTCGGATTTGCGAGGAGAAGAGACTGTTCTGAAGAAATTTCCCTAGTTTCTTTTTGGTGTACTCATGAGGTCCCTATTTGTATAGAGGATTGGATCTCTTTTGTTGAGAACTATATTTTGGCGTAGGTTCTCTTTTTCTGGGATACGGCTTGTATACGCGGTTAGTCCCCAATTGTTAATAAAATTATGGCAGAATAGCCTCGTAGGCACTTGTACTTGTTAGCGTTTGTCATCCCGGTCCCTATACTCAAAGAAGATTCATCCAGACACTTATAGTTGTTCAAAGCCAATATTTTAAACCCCTCTCACCTTGCGCGTTCTTCAAATCTCTGACATGGATGACACATCAGTGGCCACGTCAAATTTTTTGTTACACATCATTATAACTTATTTTTCACATTATTTTAAAATTATTCATTTCCTTTTCTTTTATTCCACCATTTACTCCATCTTCCTCCTCCCTCACCATTTTTATTCTCCATTCACAAATTTTAAAAATCTCCTAACCATCACTGTGTGCGACCCCTCTTTGACCATCCTTCACCTACAAAGCTTCTTCACAGCCAACATTCCACCATAGCATCACCAATCAACCACCAAAAGCTAAACCGGCCATCAATAATGACCATCCGAAAGACCAACATCACCCAAAACTTTTTGAAATTTCACTACAAGAAAACTAGAAAATAGGTTTCACCGGCGATCTTCTTTCATTATTTCTATTTCTTTTCTTTGCAAAGGCTATCTTTCAAAGTAGGGAATGGGGTGTGAGAAAAAAAACTCCCCAAAAATTGATGCAAATCTGGTACATGTTTTGGATCTATAGCGACGAGGGATGTCATTGTTTGGATGAAGANATAAGAAAAAGAGAAAAATCACCTATTTGGCCTTTTCTTTCTTTTCTAATTTGATTTTTTGAATTTTTTTTTCTTTTTTCCTTATTTTAATCATAAATTTTTTACGTTGACGCTCCTTATATGCGTGAAATACAGGATTTTGTCCAGTTCAGCGATTAAGTTGCCACATAGACTTGGTCAATGGTCAGAGGGGTTTAAAATATTACTTTTGAACGAGTAGAGGTGTCTAGATGAAACTTCATCAAGTTTGGGGACCGGGATGACAAAGTGGCACAAGTATAAGTGTCATTTAGGCTATTCTGCCTAAAATTATTTATCTTACAAAAAAGAAGTCTCACGCACCGGCGCGTGGACGTGGAGCTTCGCCGTAAAACTTCTTCCGGCGGCACGTGAGGGTGCCTGGGTGCTTTATTTTTTTGAGGGTTGGTCGCTGAACTCTGGTCTACTTCCTGGTGGTGTTGGTTTTTGCACAACACTGACCGATAGTATGGTTCTTGCGGATAGACCTGTTTTTGCTGGAAAAAGGGCTTCCGGTTGACTGGTTTCTCTTACCGGAGTCGCTGGAATTTATGCACAGCGATAAATTTCTCACGGTTGCTCTGATACCATGTGAGAATGCACGGGAGAAAAATCTTATTATTGATATTAGTCTTCCAATATAATACTCCCTCCGTTCACCTTTACTTGGCACGTTTTGACTTTTCACGCCCCTTAAGAAATAATAAATGAAGTGCACAATTTACCATGATATCCATATTAATTGATGCATATTTTATTGGATTTGAGAAAATGATTTGAAATGAGTAATAAATACTGTGGGTATGACAGGAATTTTTTTGTCTTTCTCTTGATATGCCTAAAGTGACAAGTAAAAATAAAAATCTATTTTTAGTATACATGTCAAGTAAAAGTGAACGGAGGGAATACAAGAAGTCCTATTTATAGCTATACTCTACAAAGTACATATTATTCCTACTCCAATGTGGGACTAGACTTACTTAGATACATAACTGTAAACTAACCAACTGTTTATACAGACGTTTTTGACTTTGGAATTTCTATCATGGCAGGTAATTTCTAGTTTGCTGTGTACAGTTGTTCAGGTGTTCAATATGACCAGTTTAGGTCTTGGCCAAAGTTATGAAGACTTATTAAGGCGAGAGTCTGCTGACTCTGAAAGTGAAAGAGCACTCAAAAATAGAATCACACTAGTAGCTTCAGTTCTTACTGATACTACATTCAATGTCAGTACGACATGTGAACTTAGATCAGTGAATATGATCCTTTACGACTCCAGGAAAGGATATATTGCACATGATAATGTGGCAGATGCTAATACTATAGCTGACAGGAAGTCGACAGTGCAACCAGTCCATGGTTATGGAGTTAATGTATCTCTTGCACATTCATATATCAGGATCTCTTTTGAAGAGGAAAAAGCCGAAGTTCTCATTGGTTTTTCTGAGTTTGAATCTGGTATATTCCGATATCCGAATGAGATTGTAGATACTTCTGATCAAGTTAAACCACAGTTGATTTGGTCTCTCAATTCCTTATATCAAGCTTCATTGTCTCATTGTAAAATTAGTTTAAGTTTGAGAACCTTAGGGGACAATATTATGCAGGCCAGTCAGAGAAATGTAGTGGATGGTTCTGACTCCTCCAGACATGATGCTTCAATGTCCTTGAATCATTCACCTTCGTTGATAAATGATGTAAATCCTTCTTTTGATTGGTTAACTATAAGAATTTCTTTAGGTGAAGTTTACCTAGCCAGCTGTGCAGTAAAGGACTTATTGCTTCAAGGAAACGAACTAACAACGCTTGAAGCATCTGTTTCTGTTGGTGGACGATTTCAGACAATCTCCTGTCAGTCACAGGTTTCTATTCTGTTCTTGCAGCTTCAGATTAATGTCTGTCTATTCATTAACTTCTGCATCCATTTTGCTAAATCCTAATTTGGATATAAGTTGTTTATTCATAGTTTGGGAAGATCTTATGATTTCTAAGGTTTAAACGGACACCAATTCAACAGGGGGGTTCTGTCATTGTTGAGATAGCTTCTTTGGTGACAATGGTTGAATGCTATGCATTCTACTGTAATCAGTTGGAAGGCCTTTGGCCAGCTGTGACAGAACATCTGGTTATTCAGAATGATGAGGATACAAGTCTACTGAGGAGTTCTTCCAACCAACAGTTGGAGCAACATAAACTAGTTAATTGGAACCAGGTGGAAGCATTTGCCATGAATATTTCACAGGTTTCTCTGGCATTGGTGGATGGAGATAAATCTGGTATCATCTTTTTCTATTGCTTCACTTGTTATCAATTAACAGCAGGACTCTGAAGTAGTTCTCTCATGCAGATATAAACATATGTTTTTTGGTCTCATCTTATTTTTAGAGTTACTGCCTCCTTGAGATTTTAGTGCACCCAAGGTTGAGGAGGCTTTGATACATATCAAGTTATTAGGAGTATTAAGAAGCTATAGAAGATTATATTGCTCTAAGAGAAGCAAGTTTCAATTTGAGTTTATTTTTCATCTTTGGAATTCTTCCACTGATTAGCTAGTGTTCTTGACTTTTGTTGGTATCCATGGAGCTTTTGGCATAATAGGTTTCATCTTAGGTCAATCGAGCTTGCTCGATTTGGTCATTTAGACCTTTTAATGCAACTGACAGCGTTCAAGAGAAAAGGCACAAAAGTTTTAAAAAAATGTAACTACAGAGTAATATAAGTTTAAATACAAGAAACAAGTATATGGACAAAGAAATTGGAAAAAATATATGATTAGGTGAAATAATTATTGTTTAACACAGTACTCGTCAAAAGCCTATGAATAATGACACACATGCCTTAGTATCTTCGTTCCCGATTTGAAGTGCTGCCTAAGCAAGGCAAAATGCTTAGCATGTTTTTGCATCTAGCTTCAGCGGTTAAGTGCTAATTCTGGCTAATATTTTGGTATGTTGAAATAAACAGTTTGTTTTAAATACTGTAAAAGAAGCACAATTTCAATAATGAATTTACTGCCTTGTAGGTGAATTTCAGAAGCTTCGGCTTGAAGGTAATGGCAACCTTAAGCTTGAACTACCAAGGAAATTCTCATTTGGCATAACGAACTTGTCAATTCTTTCTCAGTTACTCCATATATCTACTGAACAACAAAGCCTAGACACAAGAACTCCTTTCCCTTCTTCTTTCATATCTGATGATCAATCTTCCATCATTGTACATGATGACACGTTAATTGCTCCCAATCATTTGGGTGAAGCTAATTCTATCATGAATGAAGCAAGTAGCTCAAGCCCCCCAGAACTAGGAAATCAATATCATGCAGATGGTTCAAGTAAACCTTGCAGGGGTGGTTCAAATCCTCAAGTTTCACTTTCTACTCCTCAAAATTATATTTTAAAAGACTTAAACATTATTCTGGTGGCTGAGCAGCCTCTCAAAAGCAGCGAGAGTATTCCTTTGCAGTCAAATGACTTTTGGGTTGGCAGTGGTTCTATATCTGGTTTCGACATGACTCTCTCTCTGCGTGAAATACAGGTGAGGAGAAATGCCTTCCTTAGTTATTTGTCTTTTTCCACTTTCTGTAAATAGTATATCTTCTATAGTTATTTTCCCTGACTAAATTATATAGCAATAGTGAACATTGTGTATTGCAAAAGGTCTCAGCTTATCATGGTGCAATGTAATTATATCGGCAAGGATAATTAGCTTGTGGGTAGTCTAGCTTCTGTAGACACGTGTAAAAGGTGGTTCTTTTGATTTAAACTTCATAGCTATCCTTTGGTTGCAAGCGCGCCGCTACCGCTCTCTATACATACTCCTAATCAAAATTCATTTAAACCCCAGAATCATCATTTTGACAGGGCAAATAATTTTGTTAATAATGGATAGAGGGGCTGGCCCATTATCCACCGAGTTCCGAACCGTGCACCATTGTCCCTCGGGGATTTCACTAGTAATGCTCGACTTGCTCCAACTGTTATGATAAAGTAATAGTTTCTGAGCTGTAAATACTTCCAGTTGGTAATAAAATTTCTTAATTACTAAAAAAAAAGTAAAACTTTCTTTTATGTAATGGGGAAACCCCGACATAAGAGTTGTATACAAACAGTTGCTCTAACTTTCTTTTGTTAAATCAGATGATAATTTTTGCTGGGGAATCTTTATCAGCCATATTTAGCATAGAAGCAACCAAAAGCATAGAGCAAACACATCAGAAGAACAGTGGAGAATCTTCTGGATGTCTGGAGGAAATGGTTCCTGATGGTAATGTTCTTTCAGCCCAGGCTGCAGAATCCATCTTTTACCATGAACTTATTAACATTATTAGTGTCTTGCTTGCAGGAACAATTGTTTCTATCAAAGATGTCGACCAACATATGTATGTTGCAGTTGATAGGGCAGAAAGTGGCTACAATTTAGTTGGTGCGATCCACTATTCGCTTGTGGGAGAGAGGGCTTTGTTCAGGGTATGTTCAGCTTTGATTCATTATGTGTGCCTTGCCATATTGAAGGGACTAGAGCTTTGTGAGGTGTTTAGTTGAATCTCCAAAAGCATTTATGGCATTTGGGTTAGTTTTTCCAGACTAATCCCTTCTGGATCTTTTTCTGCTGCAGCTAAAAGCTTTTCTTACACTATAATGTATTTCTTCTCTATATCTTAAAGAAATTTATTTTTCTTTGAAGATGTCGATAAAGCTATTGTTGCTTAATCCAGTCCAAAGGATTCTTCCACTGATTTTTTAGTCACTTATGTCTCTATCTCTAATCTCTTTTCCTTGTAGATACCCACTTAACATATAATGGCCTTGGACGACCTGGCCTTCTAATCTTTTTCCATTGCTTCACCTTTATAGCTTGCCAAGAGATTTCAGTTCTCTATAGCTGTCTCCTCCGCCACTCTCTCTTATCTCAATAACGCAAATCATATGCTTATGGTTGTTCATGGACACACATTTTGACACCTAAATCTATACACTTTTAGCAATAAAAAAAAACTGTAATGCTCCCTCCTTCCCAATGTCTTTGTCATTTTTTATTTATTAGGGTTTATATATAGATATACACGCATGTCCTAAATCTGATTTGGCATCCTCAAATAAGTTCAAGAAAAGCCATGTCACTGTTTTGAAGTTTTGTAGTGAAGAAATGAGTGGTTGGCATCCTCATTTTCCTTTTCACAGAGGGCACACATGTGCATGACCCTTCTTAACACGTTATGTTGTGTTAGAAGCTTCTCTTGTCACCAACCAGCTGAAGCAGCTTACTTATCTTACAAGGTGCCTTGCGCTTCCAAATCCGTTTCCAGTGCCGATTCCTTTGAGAGTTGCATCCTCTGGACAAAACTTTGTAGCCAGATTTTACTGAGTAAAGACCATATTTCTTTCTTTGCCACAAATTCCATAAGAATTATGAGAGAGGAGTTCTTCCCAGAGTTTGAAAGAACTGGTTCATCCTTGCCATTTCCGTACATTGTCTTCTGAAAGACACTTCTCATCTTGGTTCAGAGACACATTCTGGTGAAAGGCTTTTTTTGTTCCCTGCAAAGCTATGAATATTAGGAAGTCCGTCTTTGTGTGGTCCATGTCCCATCCAGTCATCCTGTCAGGAGGAAAATTGTCCTCCCATCTCCTAATCTGAAGTTGATGTGTTCTCAAGGCATCACAAAGCTCTCTGATGACTTCCACAGACCAGTACCATGAGGCATAACATAAAGTTTTATGATCCAGAACAGCCCCCCTTCCAAACTTTTCTACTACGACCTTTCTCTGTGGGGCCTTTGCTTCATGATTAGACATCCTAGCCACTTAAAGATACTATTATGCAATATCAGGTTTCCGCTTCCTCCTTTTTTGTAATTACAAACTAAAATTTGAACAGCGTACTGTCCTTATTAGTACAAAGATGATAGTGGTGAAGGGACAAAATATTTTTGTGGTTCATTGATTCTTTTGCTTTGAAGCTTTTGTTGTCTGTATATATTTTAAAATCTTTTCACAATTTGGTCCTTATCCAGTTATCCTTGAAGTTATTTACTTTTTCCAGCTCCTTGGTGCTGCTCAATGCTCATCATCATTAAAATAATCATTTCATTGTTGAAGATTAGGAAAACCTTGTACATTTGTAACTAGGCTCAGTGCTTTTGCCTCTGTTATTTTTCTCTATCATTTTTACCTTGACAGCTTTCCCACAACTCTCTATATGTGTGTAACTCATTTTTGGAATACATTTGTTACTTGATGGACGGGGTGCTTTTACTCTTTCTCTATCATCAGGTGAAGTATCACCATATTAGAGGATGGAAGTCACAAGTGCAGTATTTATCCTTCATCTCATTATATGCCAAAGATGAATCAGGAGAACCATTGCGGTTGAATTGCTGTCGACAATCTGATTTTGTTGACATTTCCAGTTCTAGTGATAGTGCCTGGGCACTTTGGAGAGCGCTTCCATACAAACATGACATCTATGATGGTGATGTTGACTTGGAGACATATCTTCCACAAACTAAAAATATATTTTATCTTGTGAACAAGAAGAATAATTGTGCTTTAGCTTTTGTTAATGGGGTCCTGGAAGTTGTCAGCAATCCTGGACACCCGTTTAAGTTTAAAGTATTTCATGATCCTCCATATGTGAGCAATGCTTTTTTGGATGGCATTCTAGAGAAGGAATCTGGAAAAATCATGCTACTTGATTCATGTATAAGTGAGGGAAAAGGTCTGAGTCCGCAAGGAAGTTCATTTGGTGTAACTGTGTCAGTGGACAAGGTTTCTTTGACCATCGTTCATGAACTTTCGGACTCCAAGGAAAAGTATCCCCTCCTACAGGGTTCTATTAGTACTACTCAAGTTGTTATACAGATATCAAACGCTAAAGTTTGGGTTATGAGCAGGCTGGATATTTTGCTGTATTACTTTGACTCCCAGAAAAATATGTGGAGAGAACTCATGCATCCATTAGAAATTGATGTTTTCTACCGTTATAGATTTCAGACCCAGGGATCAGAAAATATTATCCACTGGGTGCCTGGCCATTTCTATGCTAGATTGAGAGAGTTGAGTATGACAATGACTGAGCTTTCTTTGGACATTATTCTCTTTGTCATTGGGGAGTTGAATTTGGCTGGTCCTTACTCTGTAAGGATCTCGACAATTTTGGCCAATTGCTGCAAGGTTAAAAACCAGTCAGGCTTATCCCTTATTTGTCAGTTCTACGATAATCAAGATGTATCAGTTACAGTAAGAAACTCCACTACCATTTTCTTGAGGCACTTGGCTTTGGCAAATCGACCTCCGGAAGCGTCATTCTTCTCTATCCAGCTTACGGAGAGAGGATTTCTCTCTACTTCTCCACTCCATCTTTCACTCTTGGAAACCCAGTCATTTGCGTGGAGACCACGTATAGTATCTCTACAAGAATCAAAAACTTTCCCTAGTCCATTTTTTGTGGCTGAAGTTTCACCCAGGACTGAGGATTGCCTAACAATCGTTGTCTCTCCATTACTAAAGATACACAATGATACTGATTTCTCAATGGAGCTGCGTTTTCAACGCCCTCAGCATAAGGAAGTTGATTATGCTTCTGTGATGCTTAAGGCCGGGGACACAATTGATGATTCTATGGCAGCTTTTGGTGCGATAAATCTCTCTGGCGAACTAAAGAAGGCACTAAATTCTTTGAGTGTTGGTAATTTCCTATTTTCTTTTAAACCTGAAGTTACAGATGACTCAACAAATTTTGAGAATCCATCAGCTTGCTGGTCGGATGATCTTAGAGGTGTGACAGCTCTGGCGACTCTGCTGGGGATAAGAACCCAGAACTTTGGTTCAGGGTTTAAGAATTCGAGCTTAGAATTATGGTTATGTTTGGCTGTATCTGATTTTCCTACATGTTTCCATGCCTTATGTGCTAAATGCTTTACCGCTTTGATATTATTTGAACTGTATATATAAACTGTGCCGAAACCCTTCTCTTCTCACCTCCGGGGATGTGCTTACTGGTTGAGACTCCCTATTATGTTAGTGTCATACCTTGAAATAAGAAAGAGGCCGGACAAGTTACTAAGCCAGACGATCTCGCGGGTCCCCGGTACGTAGCTCCCTCCTCGACTCGAGTTGTCCGCTCGGGTACACAGTCTAGAACATATACCCAGGTTTTGAACCTAGAATAACTTGACCTCATGCCGGATCCCTAGTAGGAACGCTTATCTGCATCACGTGCATTTTGACTTAGGGGACTCAACACAGGGGTTGAGTCCGTCTAGGACAGGTGTACCCAGAATAATGGACCATCCTGATGCATCCTACTTGTGCATTTATCTGTTTTGGACGGTCCTGAGTTCCAGTAGGACGAAAGCATTGCGTTCAGAGATAGTTGATCATTTGAGTTTGCATGTTAACTAGGTAAAAAGTATAACATGTGTATTATAATTGTTAAGCATGTATAAATTTGTTAGTTTAGATACTGGATTTGAACTCGACTTTTGGCACGTTCCTTCACAAATGATAAAATCACAAGCCTAGTAAAGTAAGATTCTGAAGTTGTCATTAAGCCTTTCACACGTTGCCTTCGAAATTTCTAATTGCATAATTGACCTCTTGGACAGTTTTAGGCATCAACTAATAGAATATAGGTGTGCATGTTGTTGAGTTCACTTTTTGTGCTATAATCAGTATTGGGTCTCGTCTTAATTCAACACCTGATTCTGGGCTCAAACGTGAGGCCCAGACAGCTATTGTCCAGCTGCACAACTAAATTTGAACAATGCTCTTGAGCCTGGCTTCCGCAACAATAGGCCCAAACTGTCCAATCCTTTATGTTTTGAATGAATTGCTAAATCCGCTTTGTCATTACTTCATAAATTACTGAGCTGGGTTGATTGGAAACTGAATCATAAGGATTTGGCCTTTTAGATATACTAATTAATTAGGGCCTTTAGAGACAATATTAAATAGAAAATCATAGTTTACTTTAGGTTGGACCTTTAAATAATAAATGAGATGAGTCTCGCTAAACAAAAACACATAAATTGCGGGGCCCTCAACAAATGTATACATTAAAATACTTAGAATTCGAGATGGGCCGTTTAGCGAATTTCACGGCCTTCCCCAAAGATAATAACGTGTTAGACACTTTAGACATGCTTTTAATAATTTACTTTCGTAAAACTCGGGTGCATATTTATGTGACCCAAATCCAAATCTCAACGAAGTCGGAATGTGTCAACCACCACGGGTGAATTTATGTGACGTGGTTCGAGACACGTTTTCACGACGTTGCAATTCTCGTTAAAAATAATAATAAAAGCGGTTTAAGATTATAAAGCACATAAGCTAAAACATGTTTTGAAATCAGATAAATATTCCAAATATAACAGTTGAGCGACCGTGCTAGAACCACGAAACTCGGGAATGCCTAACACCTTCTCCCGGGTTAACAGAATTCCTTACTCGGATTTCTGGTTCGTGGACTGTTAAACAGAGTCATTGTTTTCCTCGATTCGGGATTCAACCGGTGACTTGGGACACCATAAATCTCCCAAGTGGCGACTCTGATTTTTAATAATAAATCCCGTTTCGATTGTCCTTTAAGTGGAAAAACTCTTTTACGCCCTTGCGGGTGTAGTGAAAAAGGAGGTGTGACAGCTCTGGGATCCCGAATCGACAAATGATACGGTCACGGACAAAGTCTGCCACGACTTTCTTGGTCACTGCTCTGTAAGATGCTTCTTCAACCCATTTAGTGAAATAATCAATTGCTACTAGGATAAACCTGTGCCCATTTGATGCGGCAGTTTCGATTGGTATGATAACATCCATTCCCCACGCGGCGAACGGCCATGGCGAGCTTGTTGCATTAAGCTCATTTGGAGGCACTTTTATCATGTCTGCATGGATCTGACAGCGGTAGCACTTTCGAACATACTGGATGCAATCCGTTTCCATAGTCATCCGAAAATAACCTGCCCGGAGTATCTTCTTGGCTAAGACAAAACCGTTCATATGTGGACCACAGGTCCCAGCATGAATTTCCTCTAGCAGTTTGGATGCTTCCTTTGCGTCAACACACCTTAAAATCCCAAATCAGGAGTTCTCCTATACAGGATTCCTCCGTTGTGAAAGAAATTGTTGGATAATCTTCACAGAGTGCGCTTCTGAATAGCATTTGCAAGCTCTGGATATTTTCCTTCGGCCAAAAATTCCTTGATGTCGTGAAACCAGGGCTTTCCGTCTGCTTCTTCCTCGACATGAGCACAGTAAGCTGGCTGATCATGAATCTTTACTGGAATAGGGTCTATGAAGTTCTTATCTGGATGCTGAATCATGGATGATAGAGTGGCCAATGCATCGGCAAACTCATTCTGGACTCTAGGAACATACCGGAACTCTGTCTTTATGAACCTTTTCCTCAACTCCTGTACATGATGCAAATACGGGAGTATCTTGGAGTTCTTGGTCGCCCATTCTTCTCGGACCTGATGTATAAGCAAATCCGAATCTCCAATCACTAGCAACTCTTGGATGTTCATGTCAATGGCCATCTTGAGCCCCAAGATGCAAGCTTCGTACTCGGCCATATTGTTGGTGCATGGGAACCTGAGCTTGGCGGATACCGGATAATGCTGGCCGGTTTCTGATACTAGGACTGCTCCTATGCCAACTCCCTTGAAATTTGCTGCTCCATCGAAAAACATCCTCCAACCGTCATAGGATTCTGCAATGTCCTCTCCTATGAAGGATACCTCCTCATCAGGAAAATACGTCTTCAGAGGNTGCCCTATCGCTAGCTAAATTTGCATTGAGTCCAACAATTTGTAGGTCTTTCTAGATGGCTTCCTTCCATGCTATCTTAGGTCTACCTCATGACCTTTTAACACCTTCGGTCACAATAGTTTCATACCCATGAATCGATTTGTAGATAAACATTGGACATAGCGAAACCATCTCAAGCGAATTTTATCCTATAGTGCGTGCTTACTTTATCTTCTGGCGAATGTGGTCATTTCTGATCTTATCTACTCCTGAATGACCACACATCCATCTTCGCATCCGCGTCGCTGCCACACTCATCTTTTGAATATGTTGAACTTTAGCGGCCCAACATTCACTACCGTATAAAATTGTCAGTCTTATAATTGTTCTGTAGAACTTACCTTTCACTTGATAGGCATCTTCTTTCACATAACACCGCGGTAGCACTTTCCATTTCAACCATCCGGTTTTAACTTTGTGGATTTGAGAAGATGAAAAGGCTTCTTGTATTTATGTCTATGTTTACAACCCATGAGCAAGGAAATTTATACAAAGCTCCTAATGCTAATTAAGGAAATAAAATAAATCTATATAATCAATCCAGCTATCAAATCAAATCAGATCTCCTAAATATAATTAAATCTCCTGAAATCATGATAATCAACACTCCTAAATCAAGTCTCCTTGAATCATGCTAATCAACACTCCCACTCAAGTTGGTGCAAAGATGTTGCACATGCCCAACTTGCAACTCAAAGTATGGAAAGTTCACTTGTTGAGACTTTTGGTAAACACATCAGCTAGCTCTTTTTCCAATGGCACATGAAACAAACTCAAGACACCAGTTGTAACTTTTTCTTTGATGAAGTGTCGATCAATTTCCACATGCTTTATTCGGTCATGTCGGACTGGATTATGAGCTATACTTATGGCAGCTTTATTGTCACAGTACAAGGAAAGTTTTCCTTTTCCATACCGTCTCAATTCCTATAGTAGCTTTTGTAGCCAAAGCAGTTCGCAAATACCCTGGGCCATAGCTCTATATTCTGCCTCCGCACTTGATCTAGCAACTACACTTTGCTTCTTGCTTCTCCAAGTAACCAAGTTTCCTCCTACGAGCGGAGGAACAAACTTTACAACTGGACAAGAGAAGCTCAATGACATTTACAAAGCAATGAGGTGGCTTTCGATGGACTTTGACATTCTTAGAACTCGCATCAAGAGTCTTGCCCTGTACTCCATGGCTCACATTACCAACACCAGACTTCAGATCTGCATTCTGGACTTTATCTTTGTCATCTGATTTCTCTCTCTCCCTATCTTTGTCCTTTTTGTCCTTGTCACGGTCTCTCAACAAGACTACATAAGGTCGTTCACCAACCATCTCCACTTGGCACACTGAGCGAGCAGCCCGCATGAAAATCACTGGATCCCGTTGAATAACAGAAGTCAAATTTAACAGGAAATTACGAGGTGTGAGCCTTCCACTTGACTGCCTATTAGAAGCAGTTACAACGTTGTGTCGTATCTCGGCTTCCATAGCTTGCTGTAGAGCCTGTGGATCCTCAAGAATATGCCGTATTATAGTAGCAGCAATATTGTCAAACCCAATAAACAAGCTGCTNGGACGTGCTTAGGCCAGTCATGTCGTCATATGACCATGCGAATATGTCCTCATATTCCTTTAGAAATTTTGTGTACTCTTCCTTCTCAGATGGTGACAAGTGAACGCTGACTCGTGTTTCCTTGATGTTCTCTGCATCTCCTAGATTGACGATCTCCGTCTCGTCCAGGTTGGACTTAGGCCTATTCTCAAAATTCTTGACTTCCTTAACAATTTCTTCCGGTATATCATCTTCCTCTGGATCTGTGTCCGTTTGTCGCGTTGTCTCGTTACATGTCACAGTCGTTGGTTCATCATGATAAGTAATAGTAATGTTGTTTGAGTAAAGTAATGAGAGAAAATAATAAGAGAGGGATTTGTAAATACTTTAATAAATTCCATGAGTGTTTTGAACATTGGAGCTCTTTCTTGCGAAGAAAAAAAAGAAAAATGCAAAAGGAAAATAAATTTTAATAAAGCAAGATAGTGCGTAATGCTTTGTTCAGACTTGCTACCCCGAGGCACGTCGGGCTCTAGTGGTTCTGACGGTCCAGTTGCTGAGGTGTGCTACTCTGCTCACAGCCTGTATGGAAGGGCCTTCCTCCCCCTCCTCCTCAAAAATGACACAACAATCTATATCATCCTCTTCCAGGAACAAATTCCTCATCGCTGCTAATGCTTCCTCTCCTTCTAACCCATAGATAACCTCGGCTAGTTGAAAAGTCTGCTCTAGACGGGGTATCGGCTGCTCCAATGGATAGTAAGGGCCGTGCCAGGGTGGCGACCAGTCCTTGCACTCTTCCCAGGTATACTTATACCCCAACCCGAAGGTGGTACCATGTTTCTTGAGCTTGATAGGCTTAGCGATTCCTTGGAGGTTTTTGCCAAGTCCTTTGCCAGGTTCATATCCGCTCCAATTCAGTATGCTTTCAATTTTGTTGTTCCACCATTTGTCTCTGTCGACTGCGTTGACCCGCTCGATGTGGTGGTAAGTTTCCCCACCTAATCTTCTTCTTCCTCCAATTGCTGGAATGGTCTGTCGGCTATATATGGGGTTGCTACCGTCACCATGAATAATCACCTCCTGGTGATTCCATTCAAATTTCACTGCCTGATGTAGTGTTGAAGCCACGGCCCCGGTGGCATAAATCCATGGTCGTCCCAATAGCAGATTGTAAGAAGCCGGCACGTCTATCACTTGAAAATCAACATCAAACCAAGTGGGCCCCATTTGCAAACGTAGGTTAATTTACCCAATAGTGGACCTCTGAGATCCATCAAAAGCTTTGACATTGATGGCCCCATCCTTGATTTTATGCAACCCTTTTCCCAATGTTCTGAGTGTTACCAGAGGACAAATGTTGAGACTGGACCCCCCATCGACCAGGATCCGGGTGATAAAATAATCCTCGTACTGCACAGTGATGTGCAATGCCTTGTTGTGACTCAATACTTCGGTGGCAGCTCATCCTCGTGAAAGGTGATTTTATGACTCTCCAACACTTGGCCCACCATGTTCGCCATTTCTCCTCCAGTGATGTTGCTTGGTACATACGCCTCACTCAATACCTTCAACAAGGCATTCTTGTGTGCATCAGAACTTTGTAATAAAGCCAAGATAGAAATTTGTGCTGGTGTTTTGTTCAGCTGGTCAATGACCGAGTATTCCTTGGCTTGTATCTTTCTCTAGAGATCACCGGGTCCAGTTTCAATGATGGCTTGTCAGCCAGAGTTCTGCTTACTCGACTCAGCTAAGTGTTCTAGAGTATAAACCCTGTCTGTCATACCCTGCGTTGCAACTGTTTCTCCGAACTTGGCTTTTCCTTTCCTTCTTCTCTCGGCTGTGTAGTCCCACGGTATAGCTTTTGTGTGGAACGGTGTTACGGCTGTCATTGCTACTGGAATAGGCACCCTTGCCTTGGAAGGTAATACAGCAACTTCAAAGGGCTCAGGCGCCTTTGGGGACCCAAACTCGACCTCGATTGATGTGGGCGTCTTTGCGGAGGCTGGTGCTTCAAACTCAAGCGGTATGGACATGTTCACCTCAGCATCTTCAGAACGATGAATTTGGACTACAATCGGGTTAACAGTGACTGTTGGTTTCTTTGGATCGTCACCTTCCGTGATCAAACCGATTGATCCTTTGGGATCCCAGTCATATTCTATTTCAATCATATGAACACTTCCACCCTTGTAGTCTGGTAGAGGGTTGTTACGGACATTCGGAGCAGGCTCCTTTGCCACGATGATCTTGTTGTAAATTAAAGCCTGGATCTTGTCCTTCAGGGAGCGGCACTCATCAATAGTGTGTCCCTTCATGCCATAATGGTATGCACATGTTTTGTTTGGATTAATCCACTGGGAGGGGTTTTCAGGAGTTATGGCAGGGACAGGGGTGACATAACCAGCGATTTTGAGTCTTTCGTACAGTTGGTCGATTGGCTCGGCAATGGCAGTGTATTGTTTGGGAGGTCTGCGGTCAAAATTTGGTCGGGGTCTAGGAAAGTTTTGGCGAGTAGGAGGTGATTGATAGTGGGATGGTTGAGTGTTGTAGGCTTGGTAGACTTGTGCGGGTTGGGAATATTTGGGTGAAGTGGGTTGGTATGTGGGAGGTGGAGGTGATTGATAGGCAGGTGGTGGAGCTTGGTAGGAAGGTGCGGGGTAATTTGGTGTAGGTTGATATGTAAGAGGGGGTATTGGGTAGGTTTGGTATTTGATTGGGGATTTTGTTCTCTGTGCAACCATCACGGCACTCACATTCGTTTTCTTGGACGTGCCACCAGACTGTAGAGCCTTGTTGGTAGCTTGTAATGCTTCAAAGTTAGTGACCATACCACTTTTAATACCTTCCTCGATCCTCTCCCCTAGCTTGATGATGTCGGAGAATTTCTGGCCTTCAATCAGCATCAACCTTTCGTAGTACTGTGGGTCTTGAGCCCGGACGAAAAACCTGTTCATTTGTTCTTCTTCTAAAGCCGGCCTGACCTTAGCAGCTTCTAATCTCCAACGAGTGGCATACTCGCGGCATGTCTCCGTGGGTTTCTTTTTCAAGTTCTGGATGTAGAACACATCTGGCGCATTTTCCGTGTTGAATCTGAACCTGTCCATGAAATCGGACGCCATACTCACCCAGTTTGACCACTTCTTCGGGTCTTGGCTAATGTACCAAGACAGCGCATCCCCTTTCAGACTTCTCATAAAGAGCTTCATGCGAACCTTTTCATCCTTTCCTACTCCGACCAGCTTGTCGCAGTATGTCCTCAAATGAACTCTGGGATCCCCGGTGCCATCGAACATTTCGAACTTGGGAGGTTTGTACCCCTCGGGCAGTTCGACATCTGGTTGAATGCAAAGGTCTTCGTAATTCAGTCCCTCGATCCCCTTGCTTCCTTCAACACCCTGAACTCGGCTAGTCAGCTTCTTGAGTTCTGCGGCCAGATTCTTGATAAGAGAGTCTTTGTCATCAGACTCAGGTGCGCTTGAGGCGGGCTGAATGGGGTGTGGTATGGTTTCCACATAGATGGGGGTGTTGTGGTGATGATCATTTACGGAGTTCAGTGGTTCGGGGATGAGCAGTGGGGTGTTGCTTGAAGTGTGGCATGTGTTGCAGTGGTGATGGGGAGTGGATTGGTTTTGTGGCTTCGGGATGTTTTGAGGAGGTATGGGATTTTGAGTGTTGGGGAAGCTGATATCCGGGGTAGTGAGGGAAAATGACAAGCTTGCCAAGTTCCGAACTTGGTCCAATTCTTCCTGAAATTTTAATAACTTCTGTTCGAGCTGGGAGGCACTTTCCTTGGAAACCTGAATACCTTGAGAAATCTCTACCCTTTCAACTGAGCTTTCCTTTCTGATGTTGCTCAAATCTTCCATCTTTCATTCGTTCTTGTTTCTGATAGGACTCGGAGAAGGAGGAGGCGGAGGACCCTTGGATCTTGTGGAATATGATAAAGATGCCAGAGTGCACGAACTAACCTTTGGGGAGGCGAATAAGCAAAAGTAAAAACAAAAGTTAACAAGTTAGTAGGGATCATGAGAAGAAAACATTGCAATATTTAAACACATAGTGTAAGAATATAAATCGTGTCCGAAATTGGGAGCCTCGTTGTGCCCGAGGTAAGCCTAGCGACAAGTAAATTTGGAGAACTTAGAATGCTAAATGCCTCATTTCATTGATAAAAATAAGACGAATCCCAAGACGACACTAAATAACAGGAAATAAAGATGTCACTAGTGGCCATAGGCCTTATTACATTTTATAAAGCAGAAATGAAAACTCCTATCTACTTGATCCCAGAAGGACCTTCCCCAGACTCAGCATTGTTGGATCCTTCGTATAGTTCTCCCAGCTCACGCAATCCTAGCAACAAGTAGGCCCTCGCCAGATGTCCGCCTTCATTTCCTTCAGCAACCCGGCAATCTTCAACCCTCTTCGGG